AGATAATCAACTTGTAGAGAAAGAAATTCTCTACAAAACTGCACTTACAGAAAAATTTTACATGTCTCTTAGCATTGATAAAATTCAAAACGTAATTCGTCAGTGAGCTGAAAAAACAAAAACTACCTTTTTTTCCTTATATTTGAGTTCTATTCAGGATCATGAAACACATCTGTAGACTCAGTTTTTGATGCTCTTTCGAATGGTGTATTTGAAGTTGAAAATTGATGTAGTTAAAATTTTCAAAACCTACGTTTTCTAAAAACCCAGAGACCTTTTTGTATCTTTAAATTTTCGACTTATTTTCAAGTTCAATTTTTTATCAAAAGTACCTCATCATGAAGAGGAGAATTTTCTATTTTCTATGGTATATTATAGAAGCATATTCGTGTCATTAGAGAGAAACTGGAACTCAATACATGCAGGTGTTCCAATAATTTTTTGCTTTGAAAAACACAAGTTTTCCAGAAATCATGGTCTCACGCTTCAAGCTTTTGGATCCTGACCTTGATATCTGCAATGTAGTTAGGCAGAATATAGAGCTACATTCTGGTGAAATCAGAATGAAAATCAGACCTTGCATTCGCTGACAAACAGTCTGCCTTTATGATTAGATGCAAGTGTTCCAACAATTTCTTGGTCCACTGTAGAAAAAATCAGAATTTAAAAAAATTTTTGTTTTGATCTTATTCATTGATTAATTAGAATAGTACATTATAATGAATCAACTTTCATTTCGACCATTAAAAGATTTAGAAAACTGAATATGTTTCGTTTTGTTTGTTTCAGTTCATGGAAGTCGTATTTCTCGTGAATCATGCACTTTATTTTTGGCTATTCTTTTATCACATGAAATTACTCATGCAGTGAAATGTATTGCTGAAAAACAAAAAACTACACCAGAATTATCATTTTTTAGAACATATTCAAGTCCTGATGAATATGATGGTGGAAATGCATTGGAACATGAATTGTTTTGTAGTGAAATGCATATTAATCGTGATTGTACACGTACTGATGTTGAATTGTTTATCATTGGAGCAGATGGCCGTTGTTTTAAACTCTCACCATCAGATATTAATAATTGTTTAACAAACAATAGTCTTCAATCATTATCATAATTAGTTCGTCGATTAGGATTAAAACGTCAACGTATAAATGATAGTAGAAAAACTCATTATGATTATTCCGAATCAACTGATTATGAAAATAAGAAGAACGATGAAGAACTTGTACCTCTACTTCGTTATCATACACGAACAAATGTTTTTAAAGAAACGGATAATGTTAATCCAAATGAATATTATCAATCGTTGTTAAAGTACCACTGTGAAAAAGACACTTCGCAAGCCCAATCTCCAGATGATCCACTATTATCATGATATTATTGTTTCTCATGTACTTAGGATTTTTCAAAAGTTTTGATAAAATTAAATACAAACAGGGGTCGCCGCGACATGGTACAACAAAAGATAGAATTTCGAAAGGAATTTTTCAAAGAAAAAGAAGGATTTTGGTAGAAAAGAAGGAAAATGAGGAAAACAAGCAATATCCATTGAAGCACGGCTTGTGAAAATAGGAAAGTGTAAAAAAACATTCAGTAATAAGAGATGGTATTAGAGCTCGAACAAAAAAATCATTTTGAAATCATGATTTGGTCACTCTGCAAGATCTCAAATCGATCCGATAATATGTGAGAAGAGAAGAGAATACTCGAAGATGACCTATTGCATTTCGGTAATTGAGAACAAATATTATTTTGTTATATCAATCACTTTATTACTCTTGATAGCTTTTATTAGATCAAATGCACGGCTTCACGTTGCTGGTATCACAAATGTTCGTGAATGATAAAGTCTGCACGTGAATAGGGTATGAGACATAGAGATGAGCGGAACCAAGATGAATCGTGAAAATGTAGGTTCGTAATAGCGGTTGTTTGTCATCGAAAACTGAATTTGTGGCTCTGGAAAACTCGACTCTTCTTTTTTTTTTATTTACCTAAACAAAAACTTTCTGAAACTTTCGAAAGTATATCGTTCACGTTTCTGAATTTTCTAATTTTATTTTCATTTTACGATGGGGATCGAGACTTTTCTAAAACGAGCTTGCAGACGAGGACAAAAAATCCGAAGAATTTAAGGGACTATAGTAGTGGCAAAAAGTTTAGCAACAACGTATGTTGAATTTTTTGCTGTAATTTTAAGCACCTAGCTCAGGGTGTGAGTGTGGGTGTGTGGAGGTGAGATGACACTGAAGAGAGCCACCTCAACGCCCACTCAGGATGTGAGTGTGGGTGTGAATCTGCATCTAGGCCTGTGTGTTGGTATTTCTTTCACTCACACCTAAGATAGAGACGAAATGTTTTTGTTTTGCTGATTCATAAAGTGTGCAACAAATATCCATGTTTCCATTCATTTATGCAAATTGAAAAAGAATCAGAAGGCCATGACTATCATCCTCATTATCATTAAAATGGACAAGAAAAATTTTAAACGATATGCTAGTGGCACATCGCCGTCTACGACAAGTAAGCCAAATAAGTCATCCACAGCTGCAGCACCAACGATAGTTGTGAGTAGAAGAGCTGGGTGTGGGTATGAGTGTCTTTTTTTGTTGAACATCCACATATACACCCTATTAGAGCTGTAACATTATCAAGAAGTGATGAATATTTATGTGTCTATTCTTATCTACATAAAACTGTGCATGTGTATAAATAGAAAGTTTTTTTTTGTAAAAGACTTTTTTTTTGTTTAATTTAGAAGAAGTCGATGACCATATAAAGGTCAAACCTTCAATAATAAGTTGTTTCGTTACAATAGGATTGTTATCAGTGACTATTATGATCACATCAACGATGAATTTCTTTCTTTATCATCATCTATCGTTGTTTAGCATCAAATAAAATCACTTAGTATTATACTCAACCATTCAATTCAACTCATCTTTGTCTTTTTGCAAACGACTAATCTACGTACTCTGGAAATGCATTATGGATCAGAATATGATACTAAAAGTTATTTGAAAGAGGAAAATTTAATGTATCTATTCGATAATATTTCTTTGTGCAGAATGCTCATGTCAAATGGCTTACGATAACTCAATCTTTTCCTGTTTCGTGACAACCAAATTTGGTAAACATTGCCTATTTAATTGTCGAGCGACTTCCTTATTTGCAAGTCATTGAAGTATCACATTTACTTATCAACAATCTTCCGAAATTAAAATTTCTTACTCTTAATGGCGAAGATGAATATGATCAACTTTATGAGAAACAATTGCATGATCTGCAAAGTTCAAATACTCATTCTTTTCGAACAGAAATTCGTAACACAACAGATGAGGATACACTTTTCTTATGATTATAATAAAATGAAGCTGCCAATATTTCTTTGTAGTTACACTTGTTTTTGTGAAAGAATTATAAGAAGTTTTCAACATGAATAAAAGCAAAACTTTTTAAATTTTGTTTCGTAAGTTAAATCAGATGAAAAGATCTTCTGTGTTTGATATTAAATTATACTAATATTCTTTATTAGGTGTACAATAGAATGTATACAAAAATTACTCCTACATGAAAACAATAACATTAATATTTGACCAAAAGATATTTTTTATTATTAATAATCAATTTATTTCCAGTTACATTTTGATACCAAACGCTATTTTAATTCCTCTTCCGTTTATCATCTTGTTCTATTTCCTTTCTCACATATAACTGACCGAAAATAAACAACTTGAAATGTATTCTATTTTTAAGTATTTTTACAATAAATAATTATATTGTTTCAAATTTATCCTTATATATTAATATTTTAAAAGTTAAAACTTATTACAACATTTCATTGTTCAATAACAGTAACATATTTAAACTAGACCTCCACTCAAACTAAGCACGAGTAGAAAAGACGTCTGACTACAGAATTTTCATAATTCTCATATATGTTCATAGTTATTTTTTAAAATCTAATTTATCTACAAGTAACGTTCATCGTCAAGCGATTCACTTAGCCCTAGACTGATAGAATACATGTACGGATGTAATAGCATAAAAAGCTACATTAAAAAAGTAATACGCAAAATTGATAATATAACCAATATATCTTAGGCGAGCAGAAAACTTAATTCGGAGAATTCTCACTCTAAGTAAAGATAATGCATTTTACAAATTTAATTTTTTTTGTCGTTTTTGTTTTATTTTTTTTTGCTTTTATAAATATAAATAGCGCTCAATAAGATTAGACAAGAATACGATTTTTTTTGTAATTATATTGGCGCTATTTGTACGTACAAAAATATGAATTATATTATTCATAAAATTTGAGTTTTATTAATCGATATTTTATGCTTCAATTCGCGCATTAATTCTAAACTATTAATAAATTAGATATTCATTGATACAACATTGCACAATCAATTGCACAATAATGAATAATTTAAACGATTTCTTTAAATCCATACTGCTCATTTGGTCTGACTCTCACTAATTAAATGCTTTTGTAAGCCGTTTTACACCACTACCCGAATTATAGTTATTTCATTGACATTTTACCGATGGTTATTATGGGTTCATTTACATCAGTCTTTAGATGGTCATTTGTGCCATAGTTACCGGAATAGTTGTTTGTACCATGGTTGCTATATGGTCATCTGTGCCATAGTTACCGGAATAGTTGTTTGTACCATGGTTACTATATGGTCACCTGTGCCATAGTTACGTGGTCGTTTGTACCAAAAAAATTACTGTTTGTGCCATAGTTACATGCTCATTTGTACCATAGTTACCTAGTTTATTTGAGTAAAAAAATGGCCGTTTGTGCCAAAAAAATGGTCACATGTGCCAAAAAATGGTCACATGTGCCAAAAAATGGTCACCTGTGCCATAGTTACGTGGTCGTTTGTACCAAAAGAATTACCGTTTGTGCCATAGTTACATGCTCATTTGTACCATAGTTACCTAGTTTATTTTAGCAAAAAAATGGCCGTTTGTTCCAAAAAAATGATCACATGTGCCAAAAAAATGGCCATTTTGACCGCGTTACCGACAGACAGACAGACAGACACAGGTGAATTTCGGTTTCTAGACCCTAGCCTTTCAGTCTAGGGAATATTAATAAATGAAGTTGAACATTGATTGATAACGAATATCAATTGCATATCCCTTTATTAGAACATTATTGTTGTTTTTATTTTGTATATATAGTAAATCTTCGAGACTCTTTCATGGATAAAGTTAATTTATACAAAACGATAATTAACGTGTATCTGCATATAAGATACGAGATATCAATGGTCACTAGAATATTAAGCCATTTATAACTATATAAAGAGATTACCAGCTGTTAATTACCATTTATTTTTGTTCTTGCATCTTCCGCACGGGTGTCAAAGAAAAATGAATTTCAGATGCAGGGTTGCCAGATCGAAAACTCAAAAATCAGAATTTTTTTTTTTCAAAATCAGAAAATCATCAGAATTTTTTTTTGCAAAATCCGAAATTAATCAGAAAAGTCAGTTTTTGAAAAACCTAGTGGTTATTATGGTATCATGTTGGTACAAGATACTCTATTGAATCGCTGTTCATTAATTCATACTTTATTTTCAAAGATATTTCGCTATAAAAAAGCATAATACAATGAATATACTGTTTAGCTAACAAGGAAAAACTAATGACGACACGTAGTGCCGAACTCTTCCGCTAAACTCGAAATTCGTTCACAAAAAAAGTACAAAAACAAATCACATATATACGATATAAGTTATAAGATCCTATGAAAGAAAAAACTGATGATTATGTAACATAGATTCGATATTATTGTTCATATTTTCCATTTTTTCGAATTTCCTTTAACAAATGTGTTTGAGTTAAAAGATATTTATAAAATTGTTCACACGAATAATTATGATAAGATTTAATTTCATTAAAAAAGCTGTGATATGATTTAGAAACGTTCAGAATTCAGGAGAAAAGCAGGAAAAATCAGACGAGAGTGCTAAAATCAGAAAAAATCAGACTGTCAGAAGGAAATCAGAAAGGCATCCAAATTTCAGACACTGTCCTGGCTTTTCAGACAATCTGGCAACCCTGTTCAGATGTGTCCTACGCACATTCTCACGAGTTTGACAAGCTTTTTTGTGGGATGTGGGTGAATCTCTTCTTTCTGACCTCATCCAAACTCACCTACACCAAAATCAGTTTTTTCAATGTAGAAACTCTCAGTTACAGCTGATAGTTTGATGTAAGAAACCTTACAAGCATTTGTCTCATTACCATTTTGATGTAGATAAACATATATGACAAGTTAATCTAAAAAGACAATGAATTTATAAACTGTTCATTAATTGAAATATATAATTTTGTAGAATGCATTAATCTAGT